GGAAGCCTGCCCTCATGCTCCTGCTGCCATACCTTCCTGCTGTGATGGAGTTTATACCCTCTGGAAGGATAAGCCAAAATATAGTCATTGTCCCCAAAGTTGCTTTTTGTCAGACTAGTTTATCACAGCAATGGAAAGGTAACTAATACAGGAATTGTGTCGGGGTGGAGTCTTTGCTGTGCTAACACTGACTCTATAGCTTTTATGCCTTTGGACTGTTTTGTGGGAGACTTTGGGATGGAAAAGCCATTGAGTCCTGTAACAGAGCTTAGTAAACTATTGTAATGGAGCCAGGAGGTGGTGGTGCACGCCTTTAAGCCCAGTACCAAGGAAGCAAAGGCAAGCAATCTCTGTGAGTTCAAGGCCCGCCTTATTTACAGAGTGAGTTCTAGGAGAGGTTCAAAAGCTGCATAGAGAACCCTGTCTCAAAAAACCAAAATAATAATGACAATAATAATAATAATAATAATAATAAACTATTGCAATGGGAGCTTGGAAAGCAGTAATGCTGAGAAAAGAGCAGAAAGTAGACTTCTAGTGTTATGTCCAAATCGAGGGCACCCCCAAAAGACCACCACAGAGACCAAAATCCGGCATGTAAAAGCAAAGAGCCTTTATTTTCTTCAAGCTCTGGGCTTGGTCTTTCTTTCTGTCTGATACAGAGGTGAGAACAGAGAGCCCTGAGCCCAGGCAGGGTGGGGTTTTTATCATAGCAGAGATTGGAGTGAGGGAATTTCCAGGGTTCAGGACCCTGATTGGCTGACAGTTGTCTAGGGCTATCTATAAAACAAAAATAGGTGTGTGCTAGACTCAGGGACATCTGGCCACCTTATCTAATGATTGGAATGTTTGGGAGGTTAGGTACTTCCCCATCACTGGGTGGATCCCTGGGTGGTGTCAGCTTAAGGCTTTTCCTGGATCTGGGTGTCGCCTGCCAGTAAGCCTGTCACAGAAGCTGTGCCTGGGCCCCTAACTAAGCCTGTCATGGCAGCTGTTTTGGGGCCCCTCCATACTAGCTCGTGAGGTTTTATACAGAATCTTAGACTCTATCATGCATTAGGCTAGGGGCCATCCATGTGATACTTTGCAGAAAATGTGGTACATTCTGCCTAGTTAGGAGAATTTGCTTAAGGCTGAATTGAAAAGTTACAAACTAATTTGTTTGCGGCACAAAAAAAAAAAAAAATTCAAGACAGCATAACATTGAATTTGTGCCACTGTTAATTACGGAATGACTTTTATGCCAGCCTACAGTGAAAGAGAGGCTGTAATTGTTAAAGAAAATGGAGCCATTAAAAAGAGGCTTCCTGCTCCTATAGTTGACCGATAGAAAAGGTAGTATATTAGTGTTCTCTAGAGTAATAGAACGTATAGAATGAATCTCTCTATATGTATATATATAGAGAGAAAGGGGATTTATTAGAATGACTTACAGACTCTTGTCCAACTAATCTAACAATGGCTGCCTAAGAATGCAATATCCATGAATCCAGTAGTTGTTTAGTCCATGAGGCTAGATGTCTCAGCTGGTCATCAGCATAAGCTGGAATCCCAAAGAAGTAGACTCTAGTGCCAGTGAAGGAATGGACTTGCTCGTGAGGGACAGCAGGTAGGCAAAGAGCAAAAGTTTCCTCTTTCATGTCCTCATTTAGGCTTCTAGCAGAAGGCGTGGCTCAGATTAGAGGTGGGTCCTCTACCTCAAATGATCTCTGGATGTGTCTTCCCACCTCAAAGATCCAATTAGAAGTGGATTTTCCCACTTCAAATTAAACAAAAACCCCTTACAGGTGTGCCCCTCCATTTTGGGGTTTTAGTTAATTACGGATATGGTCGTTGACAAAGGAGTAGTCATCACAGGTACTTAGAGGGCAAGACTCCATCTAGGATCAAACTTATGAGAAAAAGAGTCTAAGGGGTTTCCTGTTCCTGGAAAGCAAACACCTAGGAAAGCCACCATCTTTGGCACACAGAAGCTATTGAAACTGTGGTCCAGATGGGGCAGCCTCCGTCTTGAGCCTTGAACACTTAAACTGACAGTGTTGTCCATTTTGTGGAGACACTTCTATGATTCAGAGAGCCACTGAGATCTGGCAACATGAGGAAATCTAAAAAGGCTATTGGAAAGGTGAAGTCTGGGTTACTGTGGACAACCTGAGATGCTGGAATGTCAGAACTGGGGCGAATCGGCCGAGGAAGGGCTGCACTCAGGTCTCGGAGTCAGTCTAAGAGAGAGATGTACTTTGCAGGCAGCAAAGTTGGAGGGGTGGAGCTAGGCATAGCCCTTTGAGAAACTGAATAGGTCCTCAGCTAGGGGTGGAGGCTTGTTAGCTCCTCTCTCCTCCATTCGGCTGTGTATTTGAAATACATAGAGGCTGCCAAGATGATTGAGCAGATAAAGCTGCTTACCTCCAAGCCTGAGGACCTGAGTTCAGTTCCCTGGGTGGAGGAGGGTGGGAGACATCCTGTGTCCTGCATTGTTCTGTGGCATGCACACGCATGAGCACACACACATATACACATACATACACACACACATACACACACACATACATATAGACTTACACATACAGACACACTTACACATAAATAATTAAATAAAAACAACAAAAATTTTAAAAAATATCGTCTAAATTTAAATTGTATTTTTTGAATAGCAAAAGTTTTATTTTTAATGAAATATATATTTAACTGTGTTTTGTTGTTCATACTTTTGTGTGTTCTATATATGAAATCTTGGCCTATCCCTAGATCACAAAGTTTTTTTTTTTATGTTTTCTTCCAAAGTGTATTATTTTTACTATTACATTTAGACCTGTGATCCACTTTTAATCTTTTAATTAATATTTGTTTCCTATGTGAGAGGCGCAGTTGACCCCCCCCCCCCATTTAGCCATCTAGTTACCACAGTATTATTTATTGAAAAGATTATTTTATACTTGGGCAGTCTGTCTAAAATCTGTTGAGGATTTAAGTATAGGTCTATTTCATGACTCTTTCCCCATGCTTTATGTCTGTTCTTACATTACTAATAAAGTGTTTAGATCACTGTTTTATGTTAATTCCTTTTTTGCATGTGTATTTGCGTGTGATGTGCCTCCAGTGTGTTTACCTATGGGTGTGTGCTTGTGGTGGCCCAACGCTGACGCTGATATCAGGTTGATATTTTTGATCACACTCCACTTTATTTATTGAAGCATTATCTCTTGTTGTACTCTGACCTTGCCAACAAGATTGGCAAGTCAGATTGCTGGAGGAGTCCTGTGTCTGCTTCCTGCTGCATTGACTACTGGCGGCTTTCATGCCTGCTCCACTTCTGTGTGTGTTCTGGGAATCCAAATTTGGGTCCTTGTGCTTACAGGACTAGCTCTTTATCCACAGAGCCTTTGTCCCAGCCCATTATGTTAATATGGAGCCCTTGTCCCAGCCCATCATGTTAATATGGAGCCCTTGTCCCAGCCCATAATGTTAATATGGAGCCCTTGTCCCAGCCCATTTTATGTTAATTGTTGAACTAGTGATAACTTTATTCTTTCTGAAAATTGTTTTTGTTATTCTTAGGTGGTTTGCATTCCCATATAAATTGTAATATATAATTTTCAGTGTTTTTAGAAAGCCTTCTTGTTTCAACTAGGATTGTGTTGACCTGTGTGAATTTAAAGAGAAGAATTGCTATCTTAGTATTGAGATTGTTAGTTCAAGACACAAGCTATCTCTCTGTTTTAACCTTTCAGGTTTTTAGGTGACATTTTATAGTCCTCAGTATATGGGTTTCTGGCCTTTGTTAAAGTCATTACTAGATACTTTTATGTTGTCTTGTGGCACGACCACATGTACCAGAAGTCTCCACAGTTGCCCCCTGAGCCTCTCTGTGAGCACTCACTTCAGTCTGCTGCCACTGGCGGGGACTCTGGAAAGCAGGCTCAGCAACTTCCCAGAGCTAGGGCAGGGAAAACAATGAACCAGACACCAATGAAGACAAGTAGCCTGAGTGATCCAGCCTGTCAGAATGCCTCTGTTTTTGTTTCCTCAAAATTCTACAACCAGAACAAATTCAGTGCTGCTGGCTGAGATGGCCCAGCCGCACGGACTACTCCAGCCAGAACTTCAGATAAGCCCTCCATTTTCCCATCCACACTGAGACTAGACAACAGCTAGTTCTCCCAGTTATCCCAATTTTCTCAGGGTCCCCCAATGATGCCATCACCCCCACCCCCCAACAACAGGAAGCAGTCTAGAGAACACAATACCCACATTCCCAAAAGGTAGGGTATCTAGTTTTTGGTCCTTCAATGAGTTATGGATGTTTGTCATTGTTTAGGGGGGTTAGTTACAAGTTGTTGGTCATCGTAAGAGAGGAAACTAAGCAAGGAAGGTTGGTTGGATTCAGGGGTCTTGTTCAGCGAAGAAAAAGGGGGAATATAGGATTGATAGGATAAAAGGGTAGATTATTGAATTACTTTTAAACTAAAAAAGCAACTACTTGAAATTTTTACATTGGTATCAATTTTTGTATATTGATACAAATTTAAGGGTTTTCTTGTTATACCGTATATATGTTTCTACTCTTTAAAATATTGTACCGATGTAGCACATTTAACAATGTAATGCAAATTTCTAGTCCTTGAAAGCTATTATTACAAACTATTTAGGATAATTAAGAAATACAGGTTAGTAGTTAATCATCTAACAATCACATTTGTGGCCATGTTAGGTATATTTTTAAAGTCAAACAGATATATTTTAGATAGATAGATGGTCTTCAAACACCAGAGACTTACAGAATATGGCATTTTAATGTTTTAATAACATAAAGCTTTTCATGATAATGAGACACATCTGCTCCAATCCAATTGGCAGAACCAATATATTTTAAAAAAGGATGATGGGCATTGAAGAACCTCCATATGGAGTTTGCTTTCATTGTGGCAAGGTTAGCCACTGGACAAGAGACTGCCGTTACCTCGACTGCTGACAGTATGCTGTCTGAGTTGGACAAACAGGACACTGCCGAACTTTGCCAAGACAAAATAGGACAGTCCTTCAGAATTTCCTGCTTCATAGAAAAGTCTGTCAGATATTCTAGGCCTGTAGGTCAAAGTTGAATGTCCCAGTATTGCAGAGGAACCTCAAGTGACTGTCCAGGCAGCCAGCCCGTCTGTCATTTCTATAGTTTTGGAAGTTGTTTGCTCTGCACTTCCTGTTTACCCAGGTAATATTATATCCTCAGGTCTTTGATGGAGCTAAAGATAGGATAGTTATAGTTACAGTTTTCCTTGTTACCAAATTCAGAAAGAAACTCACAAAAGAAATGTAAAATGCATAACGTTGAGAGACAGAAAAGCTTAAGTTGTTTAAGAAAATGTTTTTTAGTCTAAAAAGGTATTTTTAGGATGATAATAAAAGTTACGATAGAAAATGGTTTAGGTTTAAAACTTTAGACTCATTGAGATAGGATAGATTATATAAATGATATATTACATTTGCTTATTCATCTTAATAAAATATCTGGAATGTTTCTACTACCATTTAATTAACTAAAAAATCCTGAATTCATTTTTTTTGTTCTCCTCAGATAATTGACGTGGGTTCTGGTAAAGGCTACCTAAGCTCCTTTTTGTCCTTAAAGTATGGTTTAAACGTTTATGGCATAGACTCCTCAAATACTAATACTCATGGAGCTAAGGAGAGAAACAGGAAGTTGAAGAAACATTGGAACCTGTATCATGCTCAGACAAGAGGAGATGCCCATGGACCGGCATTAAAAATGCCAGAAGAAAAGAAAGTACAAAAGGAAGTAAAGTGTAAGGGAGATTTTGAGAGTACACCGAAGAACACTCTTGTGACTCAAGACTTGTCTGCCGATGTTTTGCCAGAGTTTTCAAAGTCAGCAGGTTCGGTCATCAGGAAACGGCAAGGGAATCTCCATGCCCAGTCACTCGAAACTGCCTTTTCTCTCGTGGACATTTTGCCTATTGAAGCCATCGAACCGACCTCCTCCCAGGTGCACAACACCGAGATGTCGGAAGTGAGGACACGGAGAAGAAAGGTGACGTCAAAGCCTAGTGACTCAAGTATCTATTCACCACTGACTTCTTTTATCACTGCTGATTCAGAATTGCATGACATTGTTAAAGATCTGGAGGTGAGTCTACTTTTGAATCCTCTAGTTTGAAAGAATGCCGTCAACATAGAATACAATTTGAAGAGCTTGTTGTTGTAGTTAGGTGATATTAGCTGACACATCAGTTCTGAAGATCCAGAATAAAATCCTAAGCTGGCTTTCTTTGTGCCCACAACTGTCAAAATTTAATAAGCACATACTATATAATACAAAATCCTCTACTCATTTCGCTTCTACGTAGAAGAGCTAGCACAAATGCTAGAGAGTAAGCCAAATTATCATATCCACAGTTTAGAGACTGTTAACATTCTAGTCCAAGAAAAGTCTTAGTGTTTTCACAATTTTTATTGTTTTGAATTGACACTTATAGCAATATTGGATGTTCATGAAGTACGACAGGTTTTCATGCATGCACACTTGATCAGGTGAGGGCAGTGAGAACAGATAAAGAGGTAATTAGCATGAATTTATTGACAGATGTGCAGTCTCCTAGAGCAAGAATAGCCTATGAGAATTCTTTAAGGCTGTAATGTTTTCTAAGTTGTCATGTTGTATAATGAAAGACAGTACATCTTAAGTACGCTATTATATGTTAATGCAGTATTTTCTAGAAGCTTCTACAGATTATCTAGCCTAACTTTTTTATAAGACAAAGTATCTTTTGAAGTTAATATTATTTTTTAATTTTTAAAAATCTTCCTAAAAGTTATGGCTAAACAAAGTGGCAGAAAGCTTTATACATTCAAATCTTTGTTTTATATGGTGTTTACAAAGAGAAGTTTCCCCCACCACAGGGATTTTTCATTAAGATGTTATTGTTATTTCTAAATTATGTGCATATGCATGAGTCTCTGTGTGGATGTTATTGCAGCAACCGCATACGCCAGAAGAGAGGTGGATGCCATCATGGATCTAGAGGTATAGGCAAGTGGGTAAGGCACCCAGCCTGCATGCCGAGAACCAACCTTGGGTTCTCTGCAAGTGTAGCACATGCTCTTAACCAGTGAGCATCTCTCCAAAACCCCCTTCTTGCCAGATACATATAACAGGTACCAGTTAAAGGAAACATTAGTGCTCACGAATTTCAAAGGAGTAATTAGGTTACCCCATTAAAAATTCAAACTTTAAGTATATTTTATCACTTCAATTTTCCAAAATAGTCTTGGAATTATATTACTAGAACTGTACAACCTGAGCATAGTGGTACCCCTCTGTAGACAGCATAAAGACCGAAGTAGGAGGATCCTGAATTCAAGGACAGCCTGGACTAGGTAGGAAGACATTATAAGGAGTCTGTAAGAAACCGAAAAGTTAAATACATTTGCAAAATCATGAACTAGACTCTGTTTCTCAAGTTTATGTTCTTAGTGACACTGATATATTTCATTTGTATAGTTGGATTTATTGATAATTACCTAGTTCTTTGATATATCTTAAACAGTATCATCAGTATTTTTGTTTGTTTTCTTTTCTTTTCTTTTCTTTTCTTTATATCCCTTTTTTTATATTTATATTTCTTTTCTTTTCTTTTGAGACAAGAGTCTTGCTATGTAAGCCTGGCTAGCCTATAATTCATTATGTACCCCAGGATAGCCTCAAACTCATGGCAATTCTCTTGCCTCAGCCTCCTGAGTACTGGGACTATAGCCTTGTTACCACCATGCCTTTAAAACTAATTCTAATTGGTACTATAAAAATTGAACTGTTGGCTGAATACTTCTTTACATAGCATTTAGGGAATATGATGACTTTTTTCTGTGTGTTGTTGTGAAGAAAACCTGAGAAATTGCTATGAGTATATTTATATCATAAATATAATAATAATGTGACCCATGGAATGTCTGTGTTTAAGTGTATCTTCTTAAAACCTCAAAAGACAATGCAACTTTCCTAAAAGGCTTTAGCTCCAAATTACAAAAGTATATGTATACAAATTGACTTCATGAAAGGTCCCATTTGCTCCTCTTTAATGCAATTTTATGATTCATGTTAAACAAAGCAATAATAAATTCAACTATGGGATGATTTGTAGATTGACAAAATTCTATGCATGTATGCATTTGTACCAATTTCATGTAAGTACATTTAAATTAGGATTTGAGTAATTGGAAAAAACATTTCATAAGACTATTTTTATATAAAATTCACGTTTGAAAATTGAGAGCAAAAATACATGTCTTGATTTTTATTAAATTTGGTCAACAAATAAACTAAACATATTGGCATTATGCTAGAAATGACAGTTTGTACCCTTTGTGTTTCTTATAACTAGGCTTTCCAAGGTGGGCAGCCTGAATAAGTTCAATCAATAAAAGAATTGGCCTAGGATAGTCATAGTATCATATAAACATCTCAACTCTCAGGTTTACCGAGTAGTTGCATTGTTCATCCAACCTTAACCTTTAATGTGCAGTATCCAGCTATTAAGCAAATATTAGCTGTAAAAGAAATGAGAAAAAATACAAATGAAGAAATTAAAAAACAAAACAAAAATAAATAGTACCTGTAGTGAAAGTATCGCCATGTTGCCTAAAAGGAATAATTATTTATTTTGCATATAAAATGATTTGTAATACTTCTTATGTAGAATTGATCACTTCAAAGTTCACATGTTTGAAAAGACACTTAAAATCTTCACATGTATAGTTTTAAACTCTTCTTTTAATTGCCTTTTTTTTTTTTTTTGCTTTGTCTCTAAAGGACTGTTTAGTGGTGGGTCTTCATACTTGTGGTGACCTTGCACCAAACACTCTACGGATATTTGCATCCAAGTCTGAAGTCAAGGGAGTTTGCAGTGTGGGTTGTTGCTACCATCTTTTATCTGAAGAATTTGAAGACCAGCATAAAGGTAGTAAGCATTCTTTGTGTCATAATTCTTACTCATTTCAATTACTGTAGCTATTTTCTATTTCTCTTTTGGTCATTATTGTATCTTGATTGATTTCTCTTGTTTTGTTTTTGAGAAAGCAGCTCACTGTGTAGTCTCAGATGTCCTGGGGCCCACCATAAAGACCAGGCTGGCACGAACTCAGAGATCCATCTGCCTCTGCCCTCTGAGTGCTTGGATTAGAGGCTTTTACCACCATGCCCAGCCATGATTGTGACTAGAACTAGCATTTAAGATAACATCAAAATTTCTTGCAAATTTAACATTAATAATATTAAGGGAATTAGATACAATATCACTTTTATATTTTATTATCATTTCTTTGGCCATAGAATGGACTTACTGAACACTAAAAATTTTGCGAATACTTGTAATTTCACTAATAAATGATGTATATTTTGTAGGACTCATTTATAAATACTTCTGAGTTTTGCTTTGATTGTGAGAGTAAAACTGTTGTTTTCATCATAAGTACAAAAATTATTCTCATTTCCAAAGTTTTCTCCATTTCTGAATAATTAATATTTCTTTCTTAAAAAAGAAAAATCAGCATACTTAGATTTCTATGAATTTAGAAAGCTTTAGTAGTGTTGTTTTTATTAAAATAGTAACATTTAGTCTGTGCTCTCTGGACGCTGCCTGAAGAGAAAAATGAAAAATGTGTTGGCAGTTTCTAATATAGCATTTGCTTGGTGCATTTTATATGATAAATCTCTCTATAAGATATAGCTTCAAAACTGCTGTTTCAAATTTGTTTCCATATTTTTTGCACTATTAATAGTAGTGGTCCTCTCATATATTAGGTAGTATTGTAATCTAAGTTTGAATAGGAGATTGTGGTGGTTTGAAAAAGAATGATCCCCATAGGCTCATAAACTCGAATGCTTGGTCATTGGGAGTGGCACTACTTGGTGGGAATTAGGAGGTGGGGTCTTGTTAGAGTAGTATGGCCTTGTTGGAGGAAGTGTGTCACTGGGGGTGGGCTTTGAGGTTTCAAGTGCTCAAGCCAGGCCCAGTGTCTCTGATGCCCGTAGAGTCAGATGTAGAGCTCTCAGCTGCCTCTCCTGTACCACCTCTGCCTGCATTCTGCACTGCATTCTGCACTGCATTCTGCCATGCTGATAATGGACTAAACCTCTGAAACTGTAAGCCAGCCCCAGTTCAGTGTTTTCCTCTTTAGGAGTTGCCTCAGTCATGGTGTCTCTTCACAGCCATAGAACACTGGACAGACATGTTAGAGAGGCACTGGAAGAGCCTGAAGGAATTGAACAACTGGTATACCCATGCACTTATTGACTCTCCTTTTTTTCTCTCATGTCTTAGTTACTTTTATATTGACATGACAAAACACTATGACCAGGGCAACTTAAAGGTGTTCAGTTTGAGGCTAGCTCCCAGTTCCATAGGGTTAGTCTCCATGACCACGCCAGGGAGCATGGCGGTAGGCAGACAATATGAGGCTAGAGCAACAGCTGAGACATATGGACAACATATGTTGGACATATGGACAACAAGCACCAGGCAGAGAGAGAGGGCTACCTGGGAATGGTGTGGGCTTTTCAAGTCTCAAGGCGTACCTCCAGGGACAAACTTCGTCCAACAAGGTCATACATCCTAACCATTTCCAAATAGTTCTACCTTCGTCCAACAAGGTCATACATCCTAACCATTTCCAAATAGTTCTACCAACAGGGAACCAATTATTCAACTATATGAGCCTATAGGGGCCATTCTGATTCAAACCACCACATTCCACTTCCTGACTTCTGTAGGCTTGTGGCTATGTCATAATGCAAAATGCATCTAGTCCGTCTTCAGAGGTCCCTGTAGTCTTTCATAATCTCTACAGTTTAAAAGTCAAAGTCTCTTCTAAAACTTCTAATTAAGGAAATCTCTTAATTGTAACTCCCTGGAAAATCAACAACCAGATTGCATACTCCCAACATACAGTGGCACAGG